CGCTCTTCACTTAGAATTGATAGTTGTGGTTACACTTGTAATCTGTGTCTCTGCTGAATCATCTCACGTTAAAGGGAGAGACTTTTAAGTCTCCTTTCACTCCTTCCTCGGTCCCCTCTGCTCATTTTTTCTCAGCACAACAGCAGGGCGGTTAGCAACCCTCGTCTGAATGTAGAATAGCCTGGCAGCCAGGGACCTGGACGTGGTGTGTCTTTTCTCTCGCTCCATGTGACAGTTGCAAACACACTCATGGCTGTCCAGATTCAAGGAGTATCTTGTATTTCTCTGTCTGTGTTCGTGGCACTGAAATGTTTTCCTAACAGTGTCATCCCCTCAATTTTTTTTTTTCCCGTTCTCTTATTTGTTCATGTGTTGGTTTGTCTTTTGAGGCTGACCACATTTGAAGTGTCTGACTGCAGGCTCTTTAAAACATACTTTGATATTGAGCATCCCGTGAACTGTGCAAAATTCCTAAAATTTCAGATATTGCGGGGCGGGAGGGAGGCAGCATGGATAGAACTGCCTGGATGTCAGAAAGGGGAACAGAGAGAGAAGGGGAGAGGTAAAAAAACCCAAGAAACTAGCCAGACATCAAATGACAGATTTAAGCATTTTCCTGTTGTAAATGCTGGCATTACATGTTACAGTAATTATATGCTCTGGGCTACTGTTACAGTGTTTGTCTGCTCGATAGTAACCTGAACTTATGAAGTGAATACAGTTGTTTTTGGATAATAGTAATATTTATAGCCAAGATTATTCACAGCAGATGTCCTGTGCGTATAGGCTTTATTAAATATGCTTTTAACTTTCTGGCCTGCGGTGTTAAAGCGTATGTACATTGTGAAGATAATTTTTCTCTTTAAAATTAGATGTATTAAGTAAAGATCAGAACTAAAATCTAAAGTAAATAAAGGCCATCAAAAGTGTTATAAGAAAAGATGAGATTGTATTTCAGCTGTATGTAGAAGCAAAGAAAACAGGTACCTACTATCAAAATAGCATTATAGTTATGAAATGCCTATTTTGACTTGTCAGAATACGATACTTTTGTGTTTTATTACCTCTAAATTCTTCTGTTGCTTTTATCTTAAAATCTGACAACCAGGGTATAAACATCTAAACATTAACCTGTGTAAATGTATGGGTTATGTTAAATATAATGTTGCAGCTGTACCATAGGAAAAATTGTTCTCTAAGAATGAACAATTTTTTTATTTTAATTTTTGGGACACAGACTATGCATTATTTCAGTTACTTCAATGAGCAGGCTAGGTGGTGTGTGTTTATATAAATTTATCTATGAAAATATAAAATATTCTTTTCCAAAATAAAATCCAAAATGTAGCTTAAGCTGTTTAAGGGAAACCTGGTCCTATATCCATCACTTGCTATTACTTAGCTATTTCTCTTAGAATCTAAACATTTTGAATGTATGCCATACTTTTGGATTTCCTTTTCAGTATAGCTTTATAAATTAGACAAAAAGGATCTGATTCCTCCTGGAGTTAGTTGGATTGTGTCAGTAGTGCTTGAAAAGATTAGTTCTTCCACTCCATGGTGTGTACTATTTGGTAGAATTAGATCTTGGTAAGGCTTTTGCAGAATAGGACGAAATTTATTTTCTTACATGCAGCTGTAACTAAAACACTTACGGCCTTTTTAAAAAGCATCCTTTGCAACATAACCCTGTTGGCATTGATGCAACTTTACTTTTCCTTTGCTGTCTTTTTCCATAAATACGTGCAGGGAAATGAACTTTGTTTAATCCATTAAATGAGCATAGCTGAATCTGAGCCTGCAATCTCAGTGTTCTCCCTTGAGAGAGTATTAAAACATATAATAGTCAAGGTGAATAGTTTTGTTCATAATTGTGATGGTGTATGTACGTAGGTAAGAGGAAAAGCAAGTCAAAGTTCACAGCAATTTAAAACTCTTTGTGTATGAAAGAGCAAATTCTTGATTCAGACAAATTTGATCAGAAAACCACCCAGATATATGGGGATTGCGTGGGCGTAAGCAAGTAACGTTTGGGCCTGTGTGCTTTGAAGGTGGTTCTTTTATTAAAATCTCTAGAGGAGGATATATAAAATATGTATATAAACTACAGGTTTGGAGTTAAAGGAAAAACCTGTTTTTTGGGTTTTTTTTTGTAAAATTTTTGAACAGTTATTGCCACCACATATGCTAATTCAGTAAGAGTTTTTCATGGACATGTGCCCTTCATTAAAACAGTTTGAAAAGTCATAACAGCTGTAGCAGTGGGCTTGTAATTCCTCATCTGTCGGCATATTGTTATACTATTTAAAATGAAGATGGCTATCTAGTATCAGAAGTGTGCAAATAAAGCATTAACCTGACGTCTGTAACATACTGAGATTTCTTGTCGCTCGTGTTCTCTGACAGCTTTGTTGCCTCATGTTGCCTGAAGAGAATTTGTCGGGAAAAAACTTCCCCATATCCTCTACCGGTGTGCTTACAGCTCTAGAAGCGCACCGTTTTAGTAAATACAAACAGTCCTGTGTTAGTGCCTTTTGATTCTGTTAATGTTTCCGTCAAGCGTGCCAAGATGTGGATTTTGTAATGTGGAAACCCACATTATAGACTTGGAATGAGCCCACAGATTTACTTCATATGGGATAACAGAGAGTCTTAAGATAGTAATAGTTCTCAGTTTTTAACAAACTATGCTAGATTTGAGCCGGTGGCTTAGTGATGATGTAGCGAACTCATGATATTGCCAAGTGGTTGAAAAATATCATTCATGGTGAATGATATTAAACTTGCAGAATTATGTTTTCCGCTTAACTACAATAACTTATGCTTTTCATATATATAAGGGTGTATTATTTATTTGTTATGGGGTTTAAAATGACCAACTCCTGAATTATTGATAAGATGCTTATGGCAAAACTCTTCAGTACTAAGATTACTGAAGTACTGTAACACAAGCATTATGTATTAAGACAAAGATGTAAATCTCGTGTTATTTCCTTAAGGCATGTAAGAAATACTATTAGACAGTTTCTTCTGAAGAAGCTAACTTTTGTTGTTTGTTTTCGTTTAGTACATCATCTGCCATGTCTACAGAGGGGCAGAGAGTTGATGATAGTCCAAGCACTAGTGGAGGCAGCTC